GAGTGTTTCTACGTGGTCGTATGTATATGGCAGGTTTGGAAAGTTGCTAGGAATGATACCAGGTTCGAATTAGGTATATGGGGCAGCAGCAGTGATAATTCAATTGTTGACCTTGTGAAGCAGTGTGCGAAGCCAATATTGTTTTCTGCGTCATTTATCAAATCTCTGTGCGAAGAATGCTCAAATGCTGAAGACCTAATAAAAGATTTGGATAAATTTGTGTCAAAGGACACAAAGAATCGCTTTTCAGACCACTGGTGCAACACACGGCTTGGAAAGGAGGATGAGAAACGAATCGCTTTCCGACGAGGAGCACTCAAAAAGGCTGCCAATGGACTTCAGAAGGTAAAGAATTAGTGTTAACATTACTTCCGTATGATGTTAATAGATTATGTCCACGACGATAATAGGTGTATGAGAGACTTACCTCCATTGGATCGTCTCCTTCTTCGCGTAAACGGAAGAATCTTCAGGCCTTTTTCGTTTTACTTCCAATTCTCCTGACCCAATTATGTGACGCTTTGTCCGCACTGATGTCTACAAATGATCAGAAAATTATGTTGGAATCGTTAATTTTCGTTGAACGTTGGTGCTCTTTATGCATTAAAGGAAGCTGGGAGAAATTTGTTGAAACCTATAATAAATTTAGCGAGGAAATATCACAAATAATGCGAAAAAAGAAAGTGGCAGACGAGCTTGCATGTGATAGTTAAGCTGCGATACACAGCGGTCTTCAAAGTCCTTGGGGATCGTTCGCATATACGCACTAGTTCATCAATGCTTTTGACAACGAGATCAACCGCACGGGTCCAAAGTTGATTGTTTGGTAACAAGCAACTGCAACCACTGAGCGCGTTGGTATCGACCATATTCATGTTAGTTCTTGACAAGCCATTAGAGGATATCGTTTATAGAATGTCATGCTGATTATGGCAAGGCTGGGATCAATTAAGACATTACTGGTTTAATTATGAAATAAATCACATTTTGAATTTATCTGTGGACCACAAAGCGTTATTTACTATTACCTTCAGATTTTATTTCCCAACGGCAACCATTTAATTTTTCTGAATATAATGTGCGGTAGCCTGACGATTCGCTACTCTTACTATTTAAGTACAAAAATAAAAGTAAAAAAGAAAAATTTAGTAATTCTTTGACAGAAAAAAGTCAGTTTCAAGTTAATATCCATTTGAAGGCAAATTGCTGCTGTCGTAAAGCTCATCGCTAGTACGCTTGTTCGAGCAAGGGTCGAAGAATCTGATGGATTTAGGGAACGTTAACTGTCATATTTAAACTCAAGGTATTGTGCAAAAAAGTCAATTCTAGAGAACAGTTACTGAATATATAAAGCTTGTTTACTAAATAACAATTCCCGCGTTTTATTGATCTGTATGCTTTTGACTGTGTTCCTTCTTCCTTTCGAAAATTTGGCATTAGAGGAATATGGAATGTCTCGTACTATTTTGTGACTGAAGTTTCTCACTGCAATATGGCTATGATAACCTATTTTCAAATAGCCAAACGTTTAATGCTTTCTGTTGTTCGGTTATCCACAATACAGGGAACACTACAGTATGCCACACTTGTAGTAACAGGAGTTAACATAATGGCCTTTACAACTACATTGAAACCTATCGCGAAAACTCCTCATTAAGTAAGCTCTAATTTAGGTGATAACAAGCTGACTCCTTTTTTGTAGATATCGAGAGCACCGCTAATATCTCTGTTCTGTAAATTACTACGTGACACCAGGGATGCTCACGATCAAATACGCAAAAGTTTTTCGTTTTTGGTTTCGTTTTTGATACATCTGCGACAAAAGTCACGTTTTACCAATACCCAGAAAACTATCCGATGTACTATACTGTGATTATGTGAACGTCTATATTTGAGCGCAGTGACTACCTGTAAACGCAATGACTATATGCGAACATAATAGATATCAAAGTTCTTGTGATTTCAATCGTGTATTTTTTAAGTAGGATGGTTTGCGATATGCCATTCAGCTGCTCGGCAAAAAGGAACTTGAGGCAGTATTATAGTCGTTGTTGTAAATGATTGGATCTTCGTGCGAAGACAATTTTGTAGCAAATAATTGCGCAAATAACTCTTGTTGTGAAAATGCGACACTAGTTTCAACAAAAGAATCGATAAATTTATTTTTACAATTTTTAATATAGTTTCTTTGCAATACAAGTTTGCAATAAATATTATTGTTTAGTTTGTATAATTTCTATCATTCTCTTTGTATCTGAGGCGACAGGAATTTATCATTATAAGTATCAATGCGAAACAGTTACTGAGTCAAAAATACTACACAATCCGTTGAATCAACTTGGTTATGTTTTACGTAAGCAAGTTTGATCAGGAATAAAATTAAAGCAGCTTTATTACAATAATAACCCTTCGCATAGCATGGGTTTATAATGATATTTGTGTCACTCACACGACTGGAAATTGTATTGGTAAAAACGTGACTTTTGCCCCAATTTGGGGTGCCGATCTATCAAAAAGGATAATGTGACCATGTACATATGCCTTGGAACCAATACACAGAATCTTTATATAAGACAATGAAATACTGCATAGATAATATATAAACAATATGAAAAAAAAATAAAGACCTTTTCTTGTATTTCTGAAAATAAAGGACCTGCTGACTTAATTTTATGAAGAAATGCATATTCACCACGAGACGTCCTCCGGTGTTTGGAAGTATTGCAATTGACTTGAGAATCCTTTTTAGGACGTCCACATTGAATTTTTTACAAAGATTCTTTAAGCAAGTTATTCATAGTTTCATCTCGTATAGCATAGGGAGTCTCAAGGACTTATTTGAGTTTGGTATTATTGAAGTTTACGGCATTGAGACAAATTCTTTTTTTTTTTCGGTTGATACCTTCTTTTTTGATGTCGTCCCTATCCATTGCGCCTGAGTTTTGTTTGCTCCTCCTGAGTGGGAAAAAGGCGGATGCACTGTACTTTGCCCCCTGCAAGTTTCCTCATTTCTTTCTTCTTCAGCACCTTTTCTTTTTCTACGATTTGCGGCTGAGTGTCATCCATTATGTCGCGCCACAAGCGCTGTGACAATTGCAAGTAAGTCTTCTGCAAGTACTCTGGTTTGGCTATCATTAGTATAAATATCTGAACCGAGAACCACGAGCCATGCCCGGTTTGTGCAAGGATCCACTCCACGAATTCAGATCATAAACGGTCTTTCCGGGTAACCAATATGATTTAATTAATTAATATTAACTGAACATCGATGTTTGTGCCACTGCACAGAAATCACCGAGGAATACGTCATCTGAAAAAGAGGCTTGTGTGTAAAATCGTTTTTGAAACATGAAATTATTAGATACCAAAAAAAATTGACGAACTCAAAGTTGGCCAGAGACCCGACATCCAAAGAATTACTAGTTGCGTATGTGGCGATCTCTCAAAAATGTCATCCAATAACCTTAGGTGAGCTGTAATGCATCACGTTATGCAGGGGAGATTACGCGGTATTAAATGCAAATTTAATCAGTAAAAGGTGGTTTACCTTCTTTCCCGTTATCGTAAACAATCCAAAAACAACAAAATGTCATTTTGTATACCAGTTCATCAAATACTAGCTCTAGCATTATTAGCTCAATACGAACAAGGTCAAGTTCTGCGTAAGTAGATATGTGCAATTATTACTCTTTGTTTTTTCGCTAATCTTCCGGAGATATTCTTAGGAGTAGTGATGCGGTTTCAGAACAAATGTCAGATTGTTTCTTTTATCGAAACTTGTAGTGGGACAAGGTAGAATTTTAGCGAAAAAACAAAGTGGGAAGAAGTAACGTAAGCCTCTTTTCCTACTTGCTCGACGTTGACATTTGTTTTAGCTGGTGGCTGATATAAATTGTTATGTTACCTTATGTGCTAAGGGAATCGATATTGAAGATTATGAAAGACGTACAGAAATGTTTAGCGTACGCAGATGTTGGGAGTGGGTAGAAGGAAATGTCATAATTTATGAACTTCCTTCTATGTCATATGAAATTGTCATTGGTGCGCTTGTAAGTAAATTATTACAGTCTAAGCGCCTTATAATAGACAGTTGGGCACAACCCATAGATGCCATTATAACGCGAGTCCACAATAACGTGCGTGATTTCTTAATTATTGCACGTGTAGTTCCATTATAGTGCGATTTTTTCCACTACTATAAATTCACTTAATAATAAATGCCACCAGAATATTCCTTGTAAGTGAAAGACTTAGTCACAATCTTTATTATTGCACTCAACAAAAATAACAGCTATATCAATCGTTACAGGATACACATGTCATATAGACAACGATAACCCTTCACAATCACTGAGAATTCTTTTTACTTCTTCCACTACTTCCCAATCTAAATTATTTTTTAAGATTTTTACAATGTTGAATTTGTTTACGACATTCAACTACAGGAATTCCTTTTTTTCTGAGTTATTACAGCAACAAAACTTATTTATCGATAACGCACCTTTGACCCAACTCCACAAGGCACGTTCAACATTCTCATATTTTGAGGGCCGATTACGCTTCAACTGAGCAGTATGCAGTCAAGACTCGATATAGTAAAGTTAACGGGACGGAGGTTTTTCTTGACTATATCGAATTTTTACTATATCGTATTCTCGTTATAATAAAGTTTATATATACGTGGCATAAATCTTTACCATATCGCGACTGGCCAATCTTGTGGTAGATTAATAATAAATGACTCAAACGTTATTTCGACTGAAGATTCAATTGTGCTGAACGAATGTACTGATACTAAGTCATTAACGGAGCAAACGTCATACCGTTCAATTATGTAGTAACTTCTTGATTTGGTCAAAGTTTCATAATTTATTAAAGCCATTTCAAAAAACGAGAAAAAAGGTAAAATTGACTATAGCGCCTTTATTGTGCGATACTTAATGTTTGCGAACAAACATATCCAACACGCTTTGTTTTCTCGAAGCAAATTCCTTGGAAACAATTCGCTAGTGTAACTTGGCTAACACCTCGCCCTTTTAAACATATTTCAGCTTTCTGGGCACCAGACAAACCTCTTCTCCATGAACTGCCTTTATCTTTTTTCTCTCTGTAGGGTCTCTGTTTTGGCTTCATGCCGATAAAATTCTCACCTCTCAAAATTCTCTCACTTTTATTTACCACGTGTTTGTATTATGATCCATCAATTTACCTAATATTGTCTGAGAGGAAACTTGACTATAACGCGAAATTTTACTATTATCGAGACTTTACTATATCGAGTCTTGACTGTATTTATCAAAGCCACTTTTCTTTTGCTATTAAGATTGCGGAGACGGTTTTTCTTTTGATTATGTATTTCAACGCAAGTTAATTCGCCATTCGTTGGTCAAGACCTAGTTGACGTTTCTGTGCATTTGTTAAAGATATTTTTTTAGATATATTATTAGGCATTTCGTATAAACAAGTGCTTTACACAATGTTAAATCATATTAATATTGAGTTTGATTCCTCTCGTCCTATTGGCTGAAGCCATATTTCCATTATAGTGCGATTAATTCGGTTATGGACGATGTCTATTATAGCCAATAACGCGATTTACAAGCAATTTTTAATATTAGAAAGAAGAGTTCTAAGAAAATTTCTCTTATAATGCAATTTTATTATAACGTAGTCCTATTACAACGAACCTAGACTGTTCCAACATGCTGATGGAATTGTTCTACTAGAAAGTATTAATGTCACTTTGTTTGTAGCGTTATACTAATTTTCATTTCTTAAAGCAGACGATATAAGAAATGGCTTTCTCATCGCAACAAACGCATAAAGGGATTTACCAATACGTGACAGAAACCGTGCAAAAGAAGCTGATGCATCGTTTTGTCCAAAAAAACCAAACGGGAGCGACGGAAATGTAATTATAATATTCTAAAGGTTTTAATTTATCGTAGGCTTGGCACTGCTGTGTAGCAGATAGAAACGCGAGCAGATTTCTGTATAGAAATATGGTAATATTAAATTATAGTGATTTGCCTTTTTGTTGGCATATTAAAATTTTCTAATGTATGTATAATGATATTTAGTTTGAATTCGGTACACATGATGGCACGGGAGCTCCATTAAATACTGTGCAAGGTCAGTATCTCAACTATTCCACTGGACTTCTTCTTTGTTCAACGTGCCATCGCAGATTCATTTGATACTCATTAGTATCAGGGCTACTTCACATGATATTGTAGCATCTGCTTTAACAAATTTTCTTGCATATTAATATTATGATGGTCAATTCTGTTTGGTTTTATTTTTAATTGCTAGGCGTTTTTTATCAATATGTATTTGCTATGCAATTTTACACGTCTAGTGTAGTGTAATTTCCACGACTATTATTACATTAAATTATACCAGTGAATGAATCATTAACAGTGCATTTCAGAGTGTAAAGGACTACTCATTTATTAGAAACATTACAGAAAAATAAGCAACACTTTTTTGTTATGTGTTGCTTATTGTCAGGTAGTATGGTAAATGAAATTATTTATTTCCGAAGTGTTGCTTATTTCGGAACAGGTATTGTGAATACATAAGGCGCAATTTTTCTCCTTGAGCTTTCTTCGAAACACTTCTAATTTTGACTGTAATTTGTTGGTGCCACAGTAGATTTGATGTAAATTACCGTATTCACGGACTAAAGTACCAGTGGGTATTTTACAAACCCCGTTATACCATCCACCTCTGCACTTCCAGTTGAATCCTGAACGATGTCACATGTTCTGGAAGCAAGCTCATCGTTGCTCAACCGGAACAGGTATCTTGCTTGACCCAGATTGTATTTGCAAATAAAATATGTTCTTTGTTTGAGAATGTGAGATAATAACAATACAATATTTTGTAACCCTATTTTTTCTGATAAAATGCAGAGACGCGTACTGGTTTTCGAATTTATTATTAATAATACGAAATGTGTGTTTTATTCTGGGATATTCGAAAATCACGGAGCGGTATTTAGTTTATGATCTTTTTTGGCATTCGTATTCTACAAATTTAATAATGAGCCATATTGGGTTTAGGTAATAGAGGCAATTTGACGATGCAATACTACGAGTGGATTAGTACAAATGTTCCTTCACCAGACTATAATCCTCGCCGATAACACTACATCTTCAAACTAAACTGATTGATGCTATTGCCGTTTACGAAAATGTTCATAAATGCGGATGCTAACCAAAATACATTTGCCATATCGGACACATTTTCTTGAGATAATTAGTAGGAATGACTCTTTTTGTTAAATTTGCCCTCCAAACGTACATAGGTGGAAAATTCTAACGTCCAACATATACCTCCATGACAAAAATGAATGAAATGCAGTCTTGATATTAATAAAAACAGTCGAGGGAGGAAAGTCGATGCACGACAGTTATGATACAAAGAAGAGAGGGAAAAAAGAAAATAATTGTAACGAGAAATGAAAAGAAACTATGAAACAGAAAGATAAGTGCTCAATAAGTTTGTACTTCGCAGTTGGAAATAATGATAAACCATTACCAAGAAGTTGAATATGAATGTACTTTCGGAAGAGGAATTGAAAGGAGTGAATGCCCGTATAGAAAATAAAAGGCTTGTTGTCTTGTCTGCTCAGTAACAAATCTCTAAACTTTAATAAAATAAGATATATTATAAAATAATAGATGCACTTTGATAAACAAGTACTTAGTAAGGATAGAAAATCGAAGAATGGGGTAGTCAATCACCAATCTAATAAAAATAAAAAGAGTCCACTGAACCTGATTATGTTGGAACTTTCATATTGTTTCCATCATTTAATAAAGTCTCCAACCAATAAAGAATAATTTCCAGTGAACGTGCAGTCCAACTGTCATTTGGCATATCAAGTGGTATCCAGTCGGCATAAGGAATCGGTCCTTGACTACTGTCGAGAACGAATACGCTCGTAATGATGCCGAATAGATAAACAACCAGCGTATACAGAGCAAACGTCACAGTGTTATTAACCATCGAATTGTATTGAGCAATTGACATATTGCCTCGTGTCACAAGAGCTCTCGAAGAAGCTGCCGTTACTACTGGTTCGGCTTTCTCCGACTGAAAATAAAAAAAAAAGATATTAATATATCAAAAATGTCGTGAATAAAGCATTAGATAATACCTCTGCTTCTACGTTAGCGGGCGTTCTTCGCCTTCTTGTACGCGTGCTTGTACGACTTAGTCGCGAATGTTTTGCAATATCGGTGCTTTCTCCTTCAATAGAACGTCGATCACGTCGTTCGAGAGGACGATTCTGATCTTTGATCATATTCTCGATTAAAGCATACTGATGTCCTAATTCTTGAGTAAGGGCTTCAAAATTGTGTGCAACGTCTCGATCCCGTAAACGGACACCATTCCCTTCTGCTTGACGACGTAGTGAACGAGATTCTCGTTTGCGGGTTGAATGTTCATCCACTGGATGACGATATTGTTCAAGCTCTGACTGTCGAATATTCGTTAACTCTTCATCGGCACCATCTGCACTAACGGCAGTTTGATCGGAAACATTATCCTTACGTCGACGGGAAGACTAGTAGTTTAAAAAAACATTAGATAGTTTCCTTACTGAATTAATTGATAGAGACTAAGAACTTACTTTAGGGCGTTGCAACATTTCGTCTTCTAAGGTAGTGTGATCATTTGCTTCCAATTCTAGTGCCAGATTCTTAAATTGAAAAGGAAATGACTAAATCTGCAATCTAACAGCTTACTAGCCCAGATCGTAAATAATCCTGTATAATAACTCACCGACATAGAAGGATCAACAATTTTGCCACTCCGTATTTCATCCAAGTCGAGCTTTAATTTATCAATCGTTTCTTTAAGTACCGAATTTTCTGTACGCTGTTGTTCCAATTCTACTTCCGACTGTTGTGCCAAAGCCACATCAGCCTCTAGTTTTGCAAGGGCACTTTCTAAACGTTGTCGCTCTTCAATCCACTGTTATAATAAGTGAAATTTATGGTGAGCGGATATTTGTGTTGTATATGACACGCCACACAAAAATGTATACCTTTTTTTCACCAGCCGTGAAATTGCTAAGATTTTTCGCAGTGTTCGCTAACTCGCCTTCCTTGACCCGTACAAGGTCTCTTAATTTTTCCGCTTCCTCTGAAAAATTATTAATTAATTTAAAAACCCAAAATGCCAGTAACAATCCATGCGTCTACACTAACCACTTTGCTCTTCATACTGCCTCTTAAGTTGGTTATAGAGCTGTTTTTGGCCATTCAAGTTCTTATGGATTTTCTGTATTTCTATTTCAAGCTGCACTCGCGACACAATTAAAGTGCTATAGTATTAATATGCTTTATATGATGGATAGCTGACGGAGTAATACTTACTGCAGAAATCTGATGCAAATTTGTCTTCTCCTTACTCTTATGATCTTGAATTTCTCGTTTCTTGTTTTGTAAATCGGCTTTAGTCTCTTCTAATTTGTGCTGAAGCTCCTCAATACGTTCCTCATGCTGGCGGGCTACGTTCGTTAGATGTCTCTCGGATTCTTTCAGTCTCTTTGCAAGCTCAACTGTGTGACGATGCAATCGACTAAGTTGCTCAGCAGGATCATCTCCTGGCTACATGGGGAGAAGCAAAACATTTCACATGCAACCAATATAACTAAAGTCGCCCGAACAAGTATAATTTTAGCTTATTCGATAAGATTTCATACCTCTAATAATACGGGGAGTCCATCAATGTACTCTCCCCTAGACTCGAGCGTACCTGAATCAAATTCATCAGGGTCAATTGGTCGTGGGTAACCGGCTCCCATTCCAGAGATATTGCGACCACCAAATGGTCTTCGCCTACGTCCTAAAAGACCACTACTGGAAGGGGAAGTGTACGATTCGTTGCCCTGTAAATATTTCAAAGTTTGGGACTCTATACATAAGTTTTTCACTGTAAAAACGTCAATAATTCGGCTCATATTTACCGCCATACTGTCTTCGTCACTTAGAACATGATCTGGAGAAGTAATGCCGGAATTCTTGTTCGCTGATGAATTGTAAGGAGTCCTAGCCCAACCACTTCTAACTTTTCCAAACTTCGTAATCGGTGTAGTGCGAGCTCTATCGGGAACTGATGATTGTTGAGGTGTTACCGGGTCGTTGTTCGTAGAAACGCTAGTAGTAGGCCCGGTGACGGTGGTTGGCCTTAAACCATCTATTAATCGCATTACATCTTCAACGGATACTTCCATTTCCGGATTTTGCGTGCAGAATTGTTGAAACATATTTGAAGCTTCGTCATTGAGCAAGCGCTTCGGCTGTTTGGATTCCCAGACAGTAACGGTGTTAAATAGGTCTTGACAAGATATCCTTCCGCTTCCATCTTGGTCATGTTGTCTAAAGAGACTCTCCAATTGCGATCTGACGCTGTCGTGTGTGTTCTGAGCCTGCTAGAAATAGAAGACAATAAAATTTTAGTTACATAACGAACTTACAGTATCGTAAAATTGGATATTTGCAGAAACACAGCTATAACAATTACTAAACCAACGTATGAAGGTTATCTCTTTATAAGCATTGGTAGTCTGCCCGATCTTGTACAGTATCGTTTTTTTTTCTCTGAATAACGAACCTGCTCAGGGGGTTTTGGTTGGTCAGAAGGTTGGCTTTCCGCTCTCGATGAGCTAACTTCCAGATCCATCGGTTATGAATGACACTGTCTCATGTATTGTGGAGGAGATTAGATGAGGGTTAGTCACACAAGTAACTAAAGGAAAGGGAGTGGATATTTATTTTAGTTTGATGACAGGTCTTGGCTATGAGTGGCCGCTTTCTGAAGCGTCCGTGAAATACGTCTGTATCAGATATAACGGGGCTTCACAATCCAGAACTAACTTTGTTTTATTTCCTGTGTTACGTTAACTGCATGACTGACACAACCCGCTCGAACGCCTAAACACTTTCGCTATAGGGAATCAATTAAAATCAGAGAGACATTTAATATAGGGCTTCTTGCAACCAGTCTTGATAATCGTTAAGACTAAATAATGTCTGCAACACCACGAAACGTCTCAATACCCATTAGTCAAGGCAACTCAGGAACTAATAATGCATCTGATATCGACCAGTTATTAGACTTAATCGACTCTCAATTAGCAGCCTCAAAACCTCCGTCGCAAACAACGCAGTCGAATAATGGCTCAGCAACGTCGACTCAACAAGCACAACCAGGAGCAGCGTCAGCGCAAATTGCGTCATCTTCTAGTTACTCCAATTATTCTGTTTCAACAGGTGGCAAGCCTTTGCCTGATCCTTCAAGTGCCCAACTTACATATGCTAGCAATCCTATCCCTTCTCGATTAGCGGCAGCAGTATCACAGCCCTCCGTACCATATGTAATGCCGAGCAGCAGTAATACAGATACTACTCCAAATTCTTATGATGCATCGTACCATCCGCATAATAATGTACAGCCACCTGGTTCAGCGCAGACTTCAAGTACATCACAATACTATACAGCTCAAAATTATCCCCAGTCTGGCAATTACTATCCACAATACTGGCAGAATACACCCAATCCATACACGAGTGCAAGCGGGCGACCTTTGCCGACGCCTCCTGGTCCATATTATAATTATGGGGGCTTTCCCACAAGTTATACGCAATATCAAGCATATAATACAACTCAATATCCAACTGTACCTCCAGCAAGTGGAGATTCTCTATCTTATTTAAGTTATAATATGCCTGAGCCTCGGACATACGTTTCTCAGTCTCAATACCAATTGATCTCGGAGACGGAGGCAACTCTTAATGATAGACGTAGACCACTTCCATTGCCAATTCAGTCTGGACAACAACCCACTACTGTAAACAATTCTTCAAATCCGAACGCTCAACCTCAAAAACGGCATTCTAGTCAAAGTTCCAAAGATCCTTACTTACCAGGTGATGATGTCTATGCTGCTTATCCAACTGAACAAAGGCGGCCTACCAGGTGAGAGAATTAGATACTATTGCTTTCGTAGATTGACTAAATGGTGGCTTGATAAATAATTACGAACTTCAACTGCTTGTGGTGCACTTGCTAGTTTGCCGTCCGTTCCCGAGAAGCCGCGAAAGGAATCTGATCCGTATACTTCACGTTCATCAGTGGGCACGCCGAATAGCGCGTCAGCAATTCAACAAACAAAAAAGGACATTTTCCACGGGATTAATGGAATGATGAATCCTGCCCTTCTCTCAAACATAGCCCTAGTATTTAAAGCAATAATTAAATTAGGCACGCATGTAAAAGGGGCCATTGAATATCCAGATAGCTTCAATGGGATTGACGCAGTGGTACGTTTATTCATTAATGTTGATGGTTGGAAAGATATTATTCGTTTGAGAAAGTTGCATTCACGACAACAACTATGTATCTAGAGCACTATACTTAGTCTTCTGCCGACTGATACACCTCGTCGACTTGCATTATCAATGGCACGATCGCTGGAAGCACAACTTTACTTTCATTCAGTTGATTGGTCTATGGTGACGGTGGTCAGAGATAACGAGGAAGAAGTCTACACGTTTCTTAATCCTGACCCTTACTCACCATCTACGTGGGAGTGGGATGAAGACTTTCCTACAGGTGTATTTCCTAGTGTTGCAAAATGTTATAGTCCTCGATGTTCGACGGACGGGAAAGGGTGCTATTCGAGAACTTGTCCCAACTACGTGCCGAATGAGGTAATATATGACGCATATGTTCATGTGAACGCGACCTTTTTTTCTAAAAATAAATTTTTGATTCTCTCCGTACAAGGAGGAAACCGCTAAAAAAAGCGAGCCGCCTCTCAACCGACAGTTCAGTACAATATCAGTAGCATCGGATCAGTCAGAATCAGTGGTATGGCATTCTTCAACCGTTAATTGTTTCGACAACTATTGAGCAGATACATTACGAACAAGCGTCTTTAACGTGTACTTTAACTTCAAGGGGTTAAATAAGTCTCCTGCATCATCGCAGGAAAGAACGTGGATGGCATCTGTTCCGAAAGAAGTATCAGATAAGCTTGATAAAGAGGAACAAAAGCGACAAGAAATAATATTTGAGACTATTTATACTGAAGAAGATTATGTTAAGGATTTAAATTTATTAGAGGAGGTCGGTATGGCGTAAGATTTTTTAATCTATCATGTGCTGATCATATATAATTTAGTACTTATAAATTATTACATCGACAGTTGTACGTAGACGGATTGCGAAAAGCTTCGCCGCCAATTATTCCTCCGGCCCGAGTGGAAATGTTTATTCAAGATGTGTTTTATAATGTATTCGATATTCGTGAACATAATCAACGAATGCTCGAGCGGTTACGTGAACGACAACGAGAAGGCTACGTAGTCGAAAAAATTGGCGATATTTTCCTGCAAAGCGCATTGGATTTTGGGAATGATTACATACTATATAATGGCCATTTCCCGTTGGCGGACAACTATTTGAAAGCTGAAAAGGTTAAGAATCCAGCATTTAAGAGCTTTCTAGAGGTAATATGATAGATTATGGAATGAATTATGCTTAGTGCGTGTATGTATTGTTTGGGGAAAAGACGAATTGACGCTAATCAGTTGTCCTGGCTTGTATAAAGCAATGTTCACGTTGCCCAGAGGCGCGCAAACTCGATTTTCGTCACTTCATACAACGACCAACGACGCGCTTACAGCGCTATACACTCCTCCTTGAGCAGATTCTGAAACACACTGCTGATGGGCATCCCGACAAGGGAGTCCTCGAAAATGCTTGGAAAAATATCAAAGAACTGTGCAAAGAAAGTGATAATAAAGTGCACGAGGCTGAGAAGCGATTGCGCATAGTCGAATTAGACCGCAAATTAATAATGAAGACTGGAGAAACATGTGTATGTGTACTTCCACCGTTTAATGTTTAATTTTATCCCAACACGAATTTAAAATTCTCAATCTCTCTATGAACAGCCGGCACTCAAATTACTTGATCCCAATCGTCGACTGCTCTTTAAAGGTGAACTACAGAAAAGATCTGATACTGGCATCGAATGGCTAGATTTGTATGTGTTTTTGTTCGATCATTATCTGGTTATGACTAAGCCAAAGAAGGGTAATGATGGAGAAGTCAAATACATAATTTCAAAGAAGGTAAGAACAAGTGCCCGATTTCTTGACGCAGTATATTGTTTTACGGATTGTTATTTTGCATTTATAATCACAAGACTCCCTTGTTGGAGCGCTTGGCTCCAGTTTTACATTTGTATTGGTACCTTGCGTTGATTATTGTATACGTTGTTTCGTTTATAGGCTATTCCTTTGGATATGTTGGTGGTTGATTTGTCCATTGAGCAACCACAACCTAGATCAATCCATTTCCCCAACCTGAGCGTTCTCAGTGATGGAAGACGGCAAAGGACCAACAGCCTCGGATTCCAAGGATCTGGTCCACCAATGGTCACAAATCTGGACGGACAAGATAACCAAATGCATCGGCAAGCGGTATACCCATTTACGGTCATTCACATAGGTCGACATGGCGGGACTTATCAGCTGTTCGCGGATTCAGCTAACACGAGAAGAGTATGGAAGGAAAAGATTCTTGAAGCTCAGAACAAATTACAGCTCAGTAGATCTCATCAGCAAGTGTTTGAACTTTTTACTCTCAACGATGCTACTTTCGGATCACACTCAGCTGCCACTAACGGTCCTAATTCTGGGTCGTCTTCGTGGAAGGGAAAGGTTATTTGCTCGGTACCGTTTGGTGAGTGTAATTTTGCTGTTGCGGGACAGTTGGCGAGGTGACGACTATTTTAGCGTTATAATTGACTGTGACACGACTTTTTTACGAAATTCTTATTAGTTACTCCTGAAAAGAGACATATGGTTGCTATTGGCACTGATGATGGAATATGGATGGGCCTTGGTGGCGAACCCAACTCATTCCGCAATGTGCTAAGAATAAACAGTGTAACACAGATGGCAGTACTAGAGGAATATGGCCTTTTTATTGTGCTAGCAGGTAATTAGTGAACAAAGCGTTTGTTTTGCGTTATTCTCACTTGTATTACACTAACACCATTGTCTTGATATACACAGACAAAATGCTTTGGGCTTATTCACTAGAAGCAATGATACCGTCGTCTGGAAACAGTTCGGCAACCAGTAATCAAGTTTCTCGACATCCACAAAAAGTTACCCAGAGTACGAATGTACAATATTTCGGAGTTGGAACGATCACGGATAAAACACTGCTGGTTTATATGAAAAGGAGAGGATTAGAAAGTCATTTCAAAGTATTAGAACCAGTGATATCTCCGCAGAATTCAACAGAAAAGGCTCGTGGGGGATTGGGAGCAATTACTTCACGTCGATTTGGCATCGGAAGAAATGAATGGTTCAAAGAGTATAAGCAATTATACATTCCATCCGAATCATATTCAGTGAGCTTTCTGAGATCTAAGCTCTGTGTAGTATGCACGCGAGGGTTTGAAATAGTCAATCTGGACACACTATTACCCACTACAATACCTGACTTTACTGACCCCGAATTTGCTTCTATCGCACGACAATGCGAAGGGTCTAAACCACTTGGAATGTTCCGACTTGGGGATAATGAATTTCTGCTGTGCTATGACCGTGAGTTTCTAACATCATAATATTGCAATATATGATATGTGAATGATCGTGTCATAGATTAATTAACGCTTGTTATTTTCAGAGATCTTCTTCTATGTTGACAGACATGGCGAACTATCTCGTCCAAGCTCTTACCAATGGGAAGGCACCCCTGAAGCTGTCGGTAAATATGAGTTGAATTGATTATTATCAACTATGTAACGCTTAATATCTGCGTAAACTTTCTCACTATATGGCGTTTACCTTCGTCTAGCACTTCATATGCCTTATGTCATTGCGTTTGATCCCTCATTCATCGAGATAAGACACGTTCAGAGCGTGAGTAGCAGTTGATTATTGTAATGGTAACTTACGTTTGTCATGTATTAATAACGTACTATTAACTCCAAACATAGGGTGAGCTCGTTCAAGTAATACCAGGAAAGAATATGCGATGTCTAAACGACAACACCACGGGAAGACACGCTGTGCATGCCGTAATGCAGCATCCATTCACAGACACGCAATATATATTCCAGCTTGTTTTGGCAGAGAATAGGAGGAGCAATAGCATTCGAGGAGTTTCTTCAAATTTAACCTAATGCTTATTAGGATTGGTTTTTCGTTGGTATTTTTCATAGCTCTGACATTGGCGTGGGAATAGTTTTATGTATGATAGACATTATTCGTATTGCTTATAAGTGTTCGAATTCTTATTCCATTTTCATTACGTTCAATTACTCTACACACATCAATCTTACATTATTCACACATTTGTAATAATACTACGATTATACATCTGCTATGATTATAAATTGCTCATACTTACGCTATCGATGTAAGACGGGCATTACTAAATGATTGACATGTCGTATACAATACAGATAGACGGATTGAAAGAGGCATCTTCTGCAACGTTTTATCAACATGACGAGAAGATTTGTCAGTTTATTATTAGTCTATGAGACCCATTGAAATTGCTCGCTTTCGAAAACCCATCTAACCCAATTCCCTAGATAGCCGGGCGACCAATAGTGTGAACGCGGAACCCAATGTTTCGGAGTTTGGAAGCATCCAAGATAAGACGGCCATCAAAGATGAAAGCAGGCTTATTCATTCTATCATAAATTTTTTCGTAGTCCAGTGTCTGCAATGAAGCAATAGTTAGCAAAAGTAGTGACTAGCAAAAAGATTTGACTTATCAATAAGTGTACCTTAAATTCATCCCACTCGGTAGCTATTACAATAGCATCCGTGTTATCAGCCGCTTCATAGGCAGAACTCGTGATAGTGATATGTTTTTTAACTAGAACCGAGAGGAGGTTAGCTTCTTGCTAGTACAAATTATATAGTACTCATTTAAACCTTAACTTACCTTCTTTGGTATTGTCAACAATACCGGGCTCGGACAAATCCATATAAATTTGTTCAGGCGAAACTTTGGGATCGTAAATACGCACTTTTGCATTTTCTTGAATGAAATTCTTACAGAGCGTAATGGCAGCAGATTCTCGCGTGTCACCAGTGTCTTTCTTAAAAGCAAACCCAAGAAGCGCAATTCTCTTATTCGTAATGGTGTTGAAAAGTGTTTTAATTATACGAGAAACAAATCGCTTCTTTTGATATTCATTTAAATCAACGACTTGCTTCCAATATGCGGCCACTTCGGGCAGATTCAGTTGTTCCGATAGATAGACCAAGTTTAAAATGTCTTTTTGGAAGCAGCTGCCTCCAAATCCAACTGAGGCCTTCAAAAACTTGGGCCCAATGCGAGAATCTCGACCACAAGCATAGGCAACTTCGTCTATATCAGCACCGGTCGCTTCACAAATAGCAGAAAGGGCATTGACTGATGAGATGCGTTGTGCTAGTAAGGCATTTGCTGCCTTTAATAGTAGTTAGTACATAAATACACTACGAAATTTGAGTTTATGAGAAAAATAAAGCTACTATTGAAAACCTACCAATTTTGAAAGCTCTGAGGACCATAAGTTTGTAGTTATTATGCGTTCGATCGGCACCCAATGAGCATAAACTTCGACTAAAGCCTTTTGGGCTTTTAAGCCTTCTGGGGTTTGCAAGGCACCAATCAACACGCGATCGGGATATAGCAAATCATTGACTGCAGTACCCTCAGCAAGAAATTCGGGATTGGAAAGTATATCAAATCGAATATCATCGCTTGAATTGGCTTCCAGTATAGTACGCATGCTTTCGGCAGTACGACATGGCACTGTGGACTTCTCAACTACGATCTTGGAGCTTTTTGCGACGTCAGCAATACCTCTAGTAGCAGATTCAACGTATCTGTGATAAAACCCGTCATAATAAATAAGCAATATACTAACGTTTACAATGTGCTAGGTTCCGATTGAAATCATCATCAATCGATTTACAACAATACAATATTATCCATGCTTGAAGGATTTACTTACGCTAGATCGGCCGCATAACCAGCACCGACACCAGTTTTCTTTGTCGGTGTGTTAACTGACACGAAGATGAGGTCAGCTTCGTTAACAGCTTCCTCGACTTCTGTGCTGAAAAAAAGATTTTTGTTTCTTCGAGCGAAAACAATTTCGTCGAGACCGGGTTCATAGATGGGCAAACGTTCGGAGTTCCAAGCAGCAATACGGGTAGCGTTTACGTCCACGATTGTTACTTTAATGTCAGGACACTTGTATGCGATGACAGCACAGGTGGGTCCGCCTAATTTAGGAAACACGTTGTAAAGTTCAAACATGTATTCTAAAACTATTGGCTGCCAAAATTGGGTAGACTCTTTACAGATTACTTACCGACATATCCAGCTCCGATGCAACAGATGTTCTTTACTTGAGTCATGATATTTACGTTATTCGCGTAATGAACGTTTGTCTGTGAAGTGAGCGGAGTTTTATGCAAGTATATCGTGGTTACACATAGCCGCTTGATGGGGATGATAAGTTCGTTGACATTACTGAAAGCAAGCATATCTACTATATTTATTTATTTACTTCACCCATTACATAAAGCTTAGCCCCCATAATGAATTTTGGGGCATAAATCCCGTATGTTGTGGAAATACAGTTGTTTGTGACAGAACTTTCTGTCTTACATTCAGATGACCCACAAGTTCGGCAATTGTGGCTGACGCTTTGTGGGACGCTTATTATATTATTATCTCTAAAAACCACTGCAATCGGCAACTAGATAAATTGGTATCGTTTCGGCGTTGTAGCAGTCTCATTGGTGACAATTACACACCAGTTATTCCATTATTGTATTTATTGGTATAACAATACCAACTTGCATTTGGATGAGATACCATGAACAGTATAATATATCTCTATATGATATTTACGAATGTCAAGTTTATTTCTACATGTTTGTAGTAACGCAGACCTGGCTCTATTACTATCCAATTGAAAAAGGATATGTATGGATATGATTCATTCAGCTCTTGCAATGAATTTACTTCAGTAAGATTGTGTATAGACAGAAAACTCACTGCATTTGTACAGGCGATATGAAGTTTATTTATTGGCAACGAAATTGCTAGTCTTTATTTATTTATTGTTGGCGTAACTAACAAGAAGCCCACTCGCATTTGCATTGACCTTACAGTATTTGTGAATGTGATGACAGCATTGTAACGTAGTCTTTCCTCTAATGATGCTCTCAGAAGTGGATGACAATGTAAAGCATCCAGGCCCTCAACGACGTTTGCCATAAATCTGCCTTTTATTATCATTATTATTACCATTATTTATATTGGCTTTTTGGAAAAACTATAGTCGAATTCTGTTCGAGATACATACAAATCAAGGCCATGTATGTGGTGACAACTATTTGGTTGTACGCCGTAGTGCGTAGCATACAATATTATGAATTTCATCTATATCAACTGTAATATCATATGCAACTTATCACTTTCTCAATCAATTGTAGAGAAGAATAGACACACGACTATTTTTTCATGATAAATAAAGTCTAGTAGTATAATTAGATACATTAATTTTATGAGTTCCTTGGCATACCAAATCATGTTTGCAATCTTGGAATTTGTGCTTGCTGCATTCTGAATGCTATTCTATCCTCATTAATTTGTGCGTTGATCCGTGCTTCTTCAATAAGTCTATCGCGAATCGGTGGATTGTATGGGTATACAAGACCGTCACCTGGTGGAGATCCGAATGGTACTAGAGACAGAACAGACATTAAACATAATATAAAATAATAACGTTAAATCAACTTCATTTTTATATATACACTTACAAAACCACAACCACCACTTCGTGCCCATAACACTTTTCCAGTTGTCACTCCAGCCAAGGTCCCAGAGATTCTCCCCTTGACGTGTGGTTGCTACCCCATAACAAAGCGGATTGTTGGCGTCAAACTGTACACGAACGTGATATTGTCGCTTGCGGTGTGATATACTCTCTATGGTCGTTCGGTTTTTCAGCATGGAAGTTAAATGTACTAGCGTGAAACCTGTTAATAATATCCCAAAAAGGAAAGCTCTAAATAATGAAAATAATGGTAATGAAAGCATGTCATATTATTACGCTGTAACATTTCTTAATCAATCTAGATACAAGACAAAAATATTACTAACAGAATGAGAAGTATTATCCACTGGATGTCCAAGTCCTCCTAACATACAACAATACAAATAATATTAGTATGCAGCACAATGCAAAAGAAAAACCATATTAATACTGATGTCTTTTACCTTATCTGATAGTTGTTGTGCTATGATAGCAATTGTCGCTGCAAAGATAAAATCAGAATATAATGCAGTATAGAGTACGAATAAGAAGAAAAACTTGTAGTTATTGTAACCAACACAGCCATTAACCCTGGAAGTATAGCAGTAACAACTTATTAATAACATATAATTACTTTACTTAGTATGTCCACATTCAGAACGTAGCACTTACCACGGGCAGTGACTATATGATGGCAGATAAATACATCGGTTAATAAACCAGTACAATATACTATCCAATGCTTATGTGTCATAAATTTAATACGTACTGATCCATTTTCAATACACACTTGTCACATTCTGAGCAATGATGACATCGATCAGGCTTCACGTAATTGCATCGATCACACCAACGCAAACCGCCGTCACGCTTACTTATTACTGTGCTAGACATAGGAATCATAACGCGTGTCTGCTGATTACTTACAGGTGTGGATCCCATCAGTGTCTCAGATGTAACTGATATCGTCGTTGTGATGTCTTTTATATATGCATTTTCCATTGGCCTTAACTGATCAGAAGTAGAAATCGGACCAGACGGAGATGTCGCAATTCTCGTAGATGCTGTTGACGGTGTACTTGGTGATGAGACGGTCGTAGTAGATGACGTGGAACCGCTTGGCGCATATACAGGTGTTGAATTGGATGGCGGCGTTGATTTGGGAGGCTACATCATAATATATATAATCCGTTATTGTAAGCGAACGCTTTCACATTATATCCAACTATAATGCAAGTTATACCTGTGCAGGCGATCCTGGTTTCTGAATAACGATTCTGGTATATGATGATAAGACCATTACAAGCAGAATGTCGACAATCGTCAAGTATGTGACTATACAAATAAAAATTGCTATAAAACCAACATCGAATTCCAAAGAGATTATTGATCTAAGTGGGAATCCTGTCTTCCTACCGGTCTGCCCTATCTTTTTTTCCGTTCTCAATAATGGCTTCACTATGCAGAATGAAAATTTTTAGTTGACATATAATAAATACAGCATTAATGCAATGAGTCTTTCATAATCATTTCAGCTATAAATTTGTGTATATGCCAATTAGATGCGCATACCCACGCCTGCTGAATATATGCGCAAATAATAGATAAGTTGTAGACATAGACATACCGCATATTCGAAATACAAATACGTAGTACGTGTATCCTACCAGTAAACACACAACAATAGGCATAAAACGGCCGACGACAGCAGAGATGCTTCCCATGTCGTTTATGAGATGCTTGGAGCTGTTTTAAAGTACTGGGTACACTATTTATTTGTCAATATATGGAAGGTGACAAACTATTGGACGTCCAATTTAGCTACTGTTACATATACGCACTTTGTGACACTTTGACATATTTCTTTTGATCCTCACGATATTTTCTTATGGACAAAGAAGTCTGTAAGTTTCCAACGTTCTTGGCGAGAGGATCTTTATAAACAATCTAGTGCCGAGGAAATTTTTGTACAGTGTTACTCACGTAATTTACTAGTCGGCGTAAATACTTAGACAACGTTGTCTTCATGGATGAGTTTTCGAGAAAAGTATTAAATATGAATCGGTTGTGTTCTTCCGGCACTTCTGTATGGTCAATGAGTCAATGAAAAAATCGGTTTATAATTTTAAGACATCTGAGTCAGTTCCAGAAAGGTTCGATATTAGATGATCTCGGATTTGAACGAAGATGTCGAGCTACTAAGTAGCAAGTATCTACATGTTCTTTGGGAGAGCCAATATTGTAAATGCAATGAAATCCGCTGCCTTTATTGAAGCCGACTATTCATTAGAGCGAACCATTGTTATCATGATCCGAGGAAGATATCACTTTAAGTTATGCAACATTAATTAATTATAAGCAGTCTGATAATAATTGGTCATGGTAAGTCATTATAGCCCCCCCCCCCCCCTTTAGACATTTTCATTTCCCAATTGTGCGAATTATTGAAACCTCAATAAATATAATGTTTTATTGTACGGGAACTAAAATTTTCGATTACAGCATTCTTTAATACAATGTTTTCCAGAGAATGAGATACCATATCATTTTTGTTTTCGAAAAAGTTGATAACAACCTGACTGTCAGAAAGTAAAACGGAGATACTGTGCGTTTTATTCCCAGCAATCATGTATTGTGCTCAGAAAATTGCTCGAAAAACGCATTCAAATCTCTGAAAAACCGAGTTTTAGCGTGATATTATTATCGGCATCTAATTGTTTCAGACTATCTTTTGCTCGTTTTACGGAAAGGAGACGGTAATAAACATCATTCTATTCGTATTGCAATTATAATCGAAAAATCGATTAAAAATAACAAATTTAAGCGTTGCATCAACTTGGCCCTTGTCCGATGAAAAGCCTCCGATAACAGAGAACTAATAATAAGTTCAGGTTAAGTGACATTATGAACGACAATACGGACGTTATACAAGTGTTTACCGTTCGGTCAGCATGCTTAATTTTCTCCGATCGTTTCTGTGTGTGATATTCCGAAAACGCTTTATTTCTTTAGAAGTGTCCTCAAATACAAGTGATTGTGCAGAACGTATCTATGATTATTGTAATGAAGCTGTTGAATTTTGTAAAGTATTTTCTCTTACTAGGGCGGCAACCGTATAATATACACATGGAGCTATAGCCGTGATTAATCAAGTGCGTCAAGGCTATATGTGACGCGTAGAACCCATCTAACATACATAATTAGCAACGATGAAGTCAACGCGTTGATGATGATACACGCATAGGAATTAAACAATAATAAATGCAAAATCTCTTCTATTGCATGGGTAATCAAAACGAGCAGTGCATAATCTTTATAACAATATATGCAAACTACTCTACAGAAGTTTAATGAATCTAACATCGATCATATTGATATTGCCCAAAGTGAAACCAATACAGAACGTGGCATCAGAAATGAGGCTAAATAAAATAAATAGAATTTAAAACAAAGAGATAATCTAATGTGTAGTATACAGGAAGGGCGGGTTGAATATTAACAGATTAAGAACAGTATTAGTTGTTTGTTTGTTTGTTTGTGTTTGTTTTTAAAAAAAAAGTCAGCTAACAATGACAAACATTAAACCAGCAAGACTATAAAATCTAAAAGGGATATTAAGATAAATACGTGAAATTTGCCATCCCGCGGCATACCTATATAATTTAAGATAATTGTATATAATGTTTTTTTTATAATCGATGATATTAATACAAAGTCCATTCGCAACAAACCCCGGATAGTAAATCAAAACTTATTCCGTCAATAACAAATGACCTCAAGTCATCTCATAATCCGAAACATATCCTCAGATCTTCATCCAGTGTCTATTAACACATCTCATTATAGTCTCCTTTTTACATCTTGTTAATAAATTAATGTCTTCCTCCTTTCTTCTTCCGCCCTTTCTTCCCATTGTTAGCGCTTGCTGTTTTCATGAATCTCTTCTTCTGCTCATCTATTGCCATTAAATATCTCTCGTATTCTTCCATCTCCTTCCGCACTAGCTTAGCAATTTTGAACTCCTTCTTGTGCTTTGTTAAATAATAGTACTGCACCGCTTTCTTGATGGATGTACCGCATTCAGAACCAATGGCACCAAAATCCTTACCATGCCGGAGATACATAGCTAAATAATGCTTTCGTTGTGCGGATGGCCACAAAGAGAGTGTATCGCTTCGCAATTGGGTCGGATATGAAAAATTCTTCGACCCACAGACTCCAGACAGCTCGCCTATATCAACCTCGTTCCACGCACGAGGGTAAGTTATGGCTAATGGAGGCGTTGGAGCAGCACGCTGCTCATAATAGTTCCTTATCCTCTCATCGTCATCCTGGACAGTGGCATCTTTACCCCTTGTGCGCATTGCTGGGCCAGTTGATGGTCTTCCAATTATTTCTTCCTTGGATAATCGACGATGTTTGGGTATTCGCGCTGAACGACGAGGCGTTGTTGAGACAGAAGGTGAGGGTGAGGGTGTGCGAACAGGCGTTGAACAGGCAGGTGACGCGGGCAACTGAGTGCTGGAAAGGATGGATTTCGATATATGCTCGTTTATGAGCAAGGAAGTCGTATCTTCATCACCTGAGCTGTATGAAGCAGGGCTGGAGTAAAAGTCTAGAGGCGATAATGGAGCATGGTCTATTACGCGTGACGATACTCGCGTAGGTTTCGACGTATTGTCCTGTTTTATTTCTACTTGTGCCATTTCTGCTTGTGTTAGTGAAGAGAAGTCGCGTCTACATAAAGGTAGTTGTAGCGTTGGAGAAAGTACAGGAGGTAACGCGCTGCCAGGGATTATAGTATGTACATGTAGACTGGGAAGTGGCGTTAAGTGTGATGAGGCCATTCCTAGCGCGTATATAGGTTCGGAATAGTAGTAAGATTTAATACCTAAATGTTATTCAAGCTTCTTTGTGTATATTTCATATGCCACACATTAAAGTGTTCCAGTGGAGTACTATGTGTCGCTCTCCTAAACGCAGTTATTAAGTTACTTAGTTATACAGATTTATCTAATAATGTCTCTATGCGCAACAAGAAAACTTTAGTTCTCTTTAAAGATCTAGGGATGATGGGTAAAGAACGATAGTCGGTATATGTGTAAAGAATGTTCGAGAGGTTGTCTACGCCTTATTGACGTTGGCGTTGCGCTAATATGTTAGCGGCGTGGTTGTGAACGTCAGGGAATAAATACAAGAACGGCAGAAGTAGTAGAAGGCTGAGTTGACAAAGAGACGCGAAAAATGGTGTGCTTTATGTTCGGGGATATACTATGTCCAGCGTTAAGGCGGAGTTTAGTGTTCAGAATAGATGTAAACGGGGTTTCTAAAATGCTTGGCTAGTCTAAATAAATCAGAAATTGAAATCACAAGATCTCCAATGAGTATGGTGGGATTTGGTGGACGTTTCACCCACCTCGGGTGATGTTTCGGGGGCTGAAGACAAGGAGTTTGGAGTTGAGGAAGGGGTAAGCAGTAACGGAATACTATTCGCAAACTGAGCCTGTGAACATAAGAGTCTGTTGTAAGTGTGCTATGCAAGATGCTCTGCAGCAAACGATTATAATAATATATATAACGCATTTATCGCGATGTTAATATTCGATGACGTATGAGGTTAAAATTCATCATTCGGTCATTTATGGAGACGAGCACACTGCTGAGAGCGCGTTAAGAAGATAAAGAGTGGAAGATTATGACTTTAACGTATAAATAGAAAGGTTAGATTCCAGTGTGCATATAGTGAAAACAGATGTTAGATATACAATAAATAGCGTTTATAAACTGAATGTTGGTTGGGACATATTGATACAGTTTGCGTATTTGCTTTCGGCAATGCTAAGAGAGTCTTATCTCGGCTATTACTGCGACAACACGACGAAAGCACAACGCATTTGATGCGCGCCCAATGAATGATCATAAATGGAGGCTGCGCAACCGCGTCGCTGGAATTGATACACAATCTGCAGGTCGATGTTCGTTCTTTTTTTTTTTCTCTTTTTTTTTAGTAAAGGGGAAGAAACTCAACGCATTGCTTATTCCTTTGTATCGGATAGTCGAAACAAAACAAAGTGACACTATCTTCATTATCCGCAAAACAACGACGAAAGAATATAACGGGAAACATAACAAAAGTCAACTAAAAGACTAATTTAGTAAAGAAATGGACGCAAGTGGGTTAAGCAATATCCCCACGACTTTCCAGAGGACGAGTAGCGAGTGTTATCAACATTAGTAATATGCGTATGTATCAAGTTATTGTGCTCGAATAACAATTATTATAAATCTATAAATGATACAATAATAACAATCATAGTGGTTTTACAATAATGTAATAATATATTTTCAATTATTAATATAGCCCGTCCTTCTTTCCTTATTGTTGTTTCTAATTATTTATAATATTATACTGTGATAGTTACGGTTATAATTAGGACTCTGCCAATTATTTGGACTATTTTCGACCAAATTAGGCCAATTTCCAGCAATTGCGTTCATTGGTTGAACGAGCAAGAGATGTCCTTAATAATACCTACCCTTGTCGGTTGATGATGAACACATTGTCACCGTTTGTGGAAGATATCCCGACAAGCCACGTACAACAAATTCCATCTCATGTTTCACAATGCACGATAAATATCTAACAGTTCGCCGGATAGTTATCAACGTTGGGGCGATCAAAATGATCATAAGATGATCAGCCAAATGAAAATAAGGTCAGAGAATGAATAAGTTAGTTTCTTTTGTAAGCTGTGTTCATCTTTTCTTACGTGATATAATAACTGGTACGCTAGAGAAATCGGTAGTAAAGTTTTTTTTATGCTATTTTACTCTGATTGGTGACAATGGAACTTTGGCGTTTGTATGTGTGATAGTATCCTGCTTTGTATACCAAATGCTGGCGATATAGTGTTTTAACGCCTGTCATCTTGGGGAGAATTCCCAAATCGATATCTCAACCAAAAAATTTAAACATGAATTTTAATATTCTAAAAAGTTTTTGAATTGTACCGTAAACTGTGAACCATGCTGTGGTTATGAAAAGTGGAATATTCGGAAGTGTTTTCCGGAATGCAGTGCAAGTGTTGATGTTGATTTCGATGACAATGGAAAGCGTAACATCTAAATACTAATGATACGAAACAGATGTAGAACAGATGTAGATATACGAGATTGTGTATACAAGTGTGTTACAGTAATTACTTCAGCTGCATTATCCCATACATCAATTAATGTTATTCGTCCGTTTTATATCACATGTTTATGCTTAGTTTGTCCTACGGAACAGTTCGGGTTCGGCTATTTTGATTTTTCATGTATCATATGCCTATGTTAGACAACACACAGACACAGCCGAGCGGTTAGCTCCCGCTGGATTCTCTATTACGTCCAATGATATCCCAATAATTTGTCCATCGACCAGTAACTTCATCCTTTTGCCATTAAACTCGAACGCTATACACTGGGATTCACATAAATAGTTATCACAATAAATTCTCCGTTTCATTGACCCCTAAAATTAGCCCCCTCCCCCAACTCCCCAACAGCATTCAGTTGTCTCGCAAAAAAACGACCATACAATATTTATTTAGTGCATGATATTGTATATAAGTTACAATGATCCTTTTAGAGGAATTATATAAATCTCTATATCCTCAGTACATTTCTCTGTGATTTCCCAATTTCCGTTGTCTGACTTCTACTATTATTGTTCATATACTATTATTGTCACTTTATGAATGGTATGACTTCACACCAAAAATTTGCTCCAGTATGAAATCAAGAAAGAACATCCCAAATGAATTTTCCTTGGAATATGTTAACAAATCTCACATTGAATCTTTCGAGAGAGCGCTTGCATTGAATCCGGACACTGATCCTAATGAGCACATTGTTGCTGCCACCGAATTACTCCCATTTAGACAACCTGCACCCTCGACAGCAGAGGGAATAACGTATCAGTTGTTCAGGTTTCCATTGATGGTCAGTTCTGTCAATTACATGAGTGAACTTTGATCGAACTTTAATGAATTCACCGCTACTGTTCATTAGATCATCGCCTTTGCGTATATACTTGTCGAAGCTATTCTTTATCTCATTGTAAGAGCAATTGTTGCATCATGGGAATATATTGTTACATAGTAAGTAGTAACCTAACAGATTCCTTTACAAGTATTATTGTCCCCATTACTGACTTTTGTTATATTCAGTCTACATGGAAGAGGAACCAATCTCACAAATAGTCTCAAGGAAGCAAGAACATATAAGGAATGGGTTGATGTAGCATTAAAATTGGATGCGTGCTACGGCTATGACAAATGGAAACAAGAAATTCCATTCCGATATTATGACTACAATCTATTGCAGAAAGTGGAAAGGGATCTCAGAGAATTTAGAAAAGGCAAATTGGCTGATCCATACGCATTGAAAAATTTGTTAATTCACTCGGTTAAAGGAAATTTTGCGGGAGTAGAGAACACAAGACTATACACTCATACTCATTATGGTACCAAGGGACTAGTAGAATCGTATATTGATGAAGGTCCGCTAAATGTACATACTTCTAATACGCGCCAGGAGATTTATTTGATGATTGGATTGTATCATATTATGAGTTTGTACCGTTTTTAACTTTCTTATCGTCTTTGCATTTTATAGTGACAGAATCTCTCGACCATCTGCGCAAATCCTCCCTCATTTCGCACAGGGATAAACACCGGCTATTTAAATTAGCGTGCAAGAACTATGGCCGTACTGCCCTTTGTCTGAGTGGGGGAGCTAGCTTCGGCTATTATCACATCGGTGTAGTGCGCGCACTCTATGATGCTGGTCTGCTCCCATCGGTTATCACGGGCACCAGCTCTGGCGGTCTTATAGCCGCATTAACGTGTACCCATACTAACGAGGAATTAGAGCAAGTGCTACGACCAGAAATCTGTTCCCGCCTCAATGCTTGTGGGGATTCGATAGATTTGTGGCTGAAGAGATTTTGGAAAACCGGCGCTAGATTCAGTGCTGTTGATTGGGCACATAAAGTTCAATGGATTACGAAAGGGAGCTTGACTTTTCGAGAAGCTTACGAGAGAACAGGAAGGATACTCAATATTTCTGTTATCCCGTACGATACACATTCTCCTCCTAAGCTTCTTAATTATATTACAGCGCCTGACTGTGTAGTATGGTCAGCCGGTAAGTGATTTGACGTACAATTATCTAAACGTTGCAAACTATACATAATATTAATTACTCATTGATGCAGTGATTGCCAGCGCTGCAGTACCGGGCATATTGAATCCAGTTGTTCTTATGCAAAAAACAGCGGATGGATCACTCGTGCCTTATAATTATGGACACAAATGGAAAGATGGGTCGTTACGCACGGATATTCCACTACAGTCTCTCTACACTCTGTTTAACGTCAAGTTTACTATAGTATCCCAAGTCAATCCTCATATTCACATATTTTTTTATGGGCCTCGTGGCTCAGTCGGTCGTCCAGTTGTTCATCGTAAAGGACGTGGATGGCGAGGGGGGTTCCTATTATCTAGTCTTGAGCAAATGCTTAAATTAGACTTAAGCAAATGGTTGAAAGTGATCAGAGATCTAGAATTGATGCCACCTGTAGCCGATCAGGATTGGAGCTCTGTCTGGCTACAGCGATTTGACGGCAATATCACTATTCTTCCCAAAATAACACTATGGGACTATTATTATATACTATGTGATCCAGATTATCGTCGTCTATCCCACATGATTACATATGGTCAACGAGCAGCATGGCCAACATTGAAAATGATATCCAATAGGTTAAAAATCGAGCGTGCTATTGAGAAAGGACGACGAACGGTCAAGCGTGAGCAATACCGGTTGCGTCGGCGGGTAGATTGTAATCATTATGATCACGAAGACACGGAAAATACTTCTGAATCAGTCGATTCATCTGTTGGCGGGAATAGCGGATCGAGCGATTCAGGTGACAGAAATGAGGGAAATGATGTTGGAATCGAGTATGCAAAGAGATGGCGCGAACATAGCGGGCTAATAAGGAAGAAAGGACATTCTTCGTATTCCATCTCGATGTCGCAATCCGATGATGATAGTTTTTGAGAGACCAGATGAAGCATAGTGAGCTTATATACATGCGTCTTTGCCATTAAAGTTAGAGATCACCTGTCATCGTCAATATCATACCAGAGTTTTTATTTATAATCATTTCCTTCCAATTGTAAATTTTAAGAAACATTCAAATAAACAACCCTATTAACAAATAATATTTAATAATGATACAATTCTTACAAAGAAAAAGAAAGGACTGCAGATTGATTTGTTCCGACATCGTCATAATACATGACAACCATAACATATCAGCATATCGCTATTGTTCTCACTCTTGCTATTACTTCCTACTAAGTGTAAGTGATAAAGTTGAAATGGCACAAACGAATTTTTCTCTAACTCACACACGATCACCATTATTTCTATAATTAGTTCACATTGATGCTTCAACGAATAGCTATTAAATTGGTTAGAACCGTAGTTGGAATATTGTACTACTACTCTTCAGTCATGAACAGTTCCAACCAAGGTCAGGACTGTTGGAAGGCCAGTTCAAAATCATTGGAACATTGTTTTGAAGAAATTTCGTTGCAGAAGGCGAGCATGCTTAGGATCATCATCCTGTTGCCAATATTTCCAACATCTGAAGCACAGAAACCACCCCCATGTCATTATTTTGCGTCGATCTTTCGGCGTTGGGCGTATTGGCCTTGTACCTTATGCCAACGTTTAATTGTGTTCCGAAACAGTTTCGTCAGTGAAAATCGTTGTTTTCCAATTGTCTTTTTGGCCCATATCGCCCGAATTTTTTTATGGGCCGCTGTTAGCATTGGAGTGGTAAGAAGGCGGTTATCTGTATAACCAAATGACGTCCTAAAATTATGCGGGAAACCAAAGTTCCTTCCTCCTTTAATTTACTCAGTAGAAATGGTCGGTTTCTTCGAATGTACTGGCCAATTCTACAAGCCCCAATATTAGTTATAATTTTTTTTACCATTTCCCCTCTGTGTTTACATATCCTTTTTCCTTTAAGTTTTAATAGATATCGTCCTCATCGGGAATTTTGGTCAATGATTGTATTTCTCCCAATGGTATAATATCGTTTGTCGTCACCTTTGTTTTGGATAAAACGCGAAGTAAGTCTGTCTGGAAATGATAATCCATTATCGATTAATTACACGTTTATTTTGAGTACAAATACGAGATTTTACTGGTGATCTGGTTCCCATCAATAACTCCAAGAATAGCAATTTATCACCAAAAGAATAACCCTTAATATTAATCGAGAAGTACGTGGGGGGTTTGAAAAGTTTTGCGTGTGGCTCTCTAACTCGAGATTGTAACAGTTTAACTAAAAATTGGAGTAA